GTAATTAAAAAAATAAAGAATTATATTCATTTCACTAATATAAATAAATAATAAATTAAATAAATTAAAAATTATAAACAAACAATTAAGCAATTTAAATAAAAAAATATATATTCATTTAACTAATTTAAAAATATTACAAATAAAAAATAAATTATAATAATAACAAATCATAATCAAACAATTAAGTAATTTAAATAAAAACATATTTTTATTCAACTAATTTAAAGTTATTATAAGTAATAAATTAATGAAATAAATAAAAAATTATTATCAAACAATAAATTAATTTTTATTTAAATTACTTAATTGTTTGATTATGAAACAATAAAGTAATATCAATAAATATATATTCCTTTAACTAATTTCAAAATATTATCAATAAAAATAAATTACAGCAATAATAAATCATAATCAAACAATTAAGTAATTTAAATAAAAATATATTTTCATTCAACTAATTTAAAATTATTATAAGTGATAAATTAATGAAATAAATAAAAAATTATAATCAAAGAATTAAGTAATTTAAATAAAAATATATATTCATTCAACTAATTTAAAAATATTATAAGCAATAAATTAATTAAATAAATAAAAATTAAAATACAAACAATTAAGTACTTTAAATAAAAAATATATATTCATTTAACTAATTTCAAAATATTATGAATAAAAATAAATTATATCAATAAAAAATTATAATCAAACAATTAAGTAATTTAAATAAAAAATATATATTCATTTAACTAATTTAGAAATATTATAAATTAGGAATTAATTAAATAAATAAAAATTTACAATCAAACAATTAAGTAATTTAAAAACAATATATATATTCATTTACTTAAATTAAAAAATTATAAATAATAATTTTATATTACCTTTATCATTTCCTAACCTTGTTGCTCCTTCTCCAGAGTGATTTTCTTCCAATCTTTCATATAAATGGGGAATAGGGTCCACTGTTGACCAAGAAGGCGCACGTACTTGTTATACAACTGGCCACCTTTCTTGGTCAATTGGCCCAATTCATTCAGCGGCACAACCACCCGTCCGCTCGTCGTCATAGACAACTCTCTGGCTGTCAGCCTCCTATAGGACCTGTTTCCCTCAGAGTCTGCAAAATTTAAATAATAAATTAATTATATATTAATGAATTAAAAAATTTCTATATAAATTAAATAGTTGTCAAATTTAAAAAAGTTAAATAAATACTTACTCTCAAATTCTACTTTAAAACCGGTCTGGCGTCTGGGAGTAGGACGCTGCTCAGTATGGGGATTCTCATTCCCCTGAACCTGCTCCTCCTCTTCCTCCTCCTCACCAGCATCACTATAGGATTGTTCATCCCCCCAAAAAATGATCCTCCTCAGTCGGCTGGATATCATCATGCTCCATGAAGCTCAAGATATCCTCCTTGTTCAAATCATAGTCATGGATGCTCAGTAATGGCTCACCAGCATCATGACCCCCACAACCACGATCCTTGTTGGGTCCTGCTCTCTCAGGGTCAATCAGCTCCTTCCCTACTAGACGACTCATCATAATAATAGCAAATAGCAATTGTAATGAAAGATATATTTTACAACAAATAATTATTAAAAATAAATAATTATATCAAATAATAATTATTTCTATTAACTCTAAATAATAATATCAAATAATTAATTGAAAAACATATGTTCCTATATTTAAATTTACCGTTAACTCATCAAAAAAAAATATAATTACTTCTATTAACTCTATAAATACTAGCCTACTATAAAAAAAATTTCTATTAACTCTAACTAAATTAAGCTAGTCTATCAAATAAAAAATAAAAACAAAAATTATTTATTCATATGGATTTGTATATATAGGCCGTGATTTTCTAGCAGTTTTGGAAGAATTGCTAGAATTTTCTAGCGGTTTAAGTAAAACCGCTAGAAATTTCTAGCTGTTACACTGCGCCACCTCCTGTATTCAGCCACGTGTCACAACTCCTCGGGAAAAATAAAAAATTTCTAGCGGTTTTAAGAGAAACTACTAGAAAGTTGGTTGCATTACTAGCGGTTTAGTAACTGCTAGAGAATGAAATGACGATTTGCATTCTCTAGCAGTTTCATCATCAAAACCGCTAGAAAATAAACAATAGAAGTTTGGCGCCAACTTCGAGCCAAAACACGTGAACAATTCTGGCAGTCACTTTCTAGCGGTTTACTACTAACCACTAGAAAATTATGAGGCCCATACTATTTCTGGTCAAAGCATTACGAATTTCTTGCGGTTTGTTTGAAAATCACTAGAAATGTCTGAATTTGTAGCGGTTTTATTTAACTGCTAGAAATGTTCCGCTGCTAATTCTACTTTTTTTTGTAGTGTACACAACAATCACTCTAAAGTTGTTGGTCTTAATTATTTGCCAAAGCCAATTGTTTTAGTTATCTTAAATTATACAAAATTATTCGAGGTCCCATTGTAAGCTGGGCTGCCAGTAAAATATTTCTTCATCTGACTTCCTCTAATAGTTTTATTGTAGTTTTGTTGGATTCACTTGATCTAGCCTTTTTTTTTTTAATCTCAATGGTGCTTTCCTTTCCTTCCTCAATAGGATTCTCTTTCCATATTTCTTATCCATTTTCCTCTTCATTATTCACAATCCCACACAAAATTAATGTAAGTTAGGTTAAGCTTTTCATCATGCAAATGACATAACACTCCTTTTCTTGTGAACTTAACTCTAAAAAGACTTCAAAGGCACATTCCTTTTTATCTTTATTATTTAAGTATATTATTGAGTAGTTGGGTTTTACTGAACTCTAATTTAGAATTCTAAAGAATGAGGTTTTTATATCCATTTTGTTCTCATGTATGGTTCCCCCAAACACATGCTTTTTTTACTTCATTATTTAAGTATATTAGCTTCCAATGACATTACACACAATTCAAACCTTATCTTTCTTTTCTTCTTTGAGCTAGTTCTTACAGAAGCTCATGTTAAATTTAATGCATCCTGAAATGATCCATACGTTATACCATAATTCACATGGTTGAATTAAAAATAAGATTCCAACTACTATTTGAGAACAACTAATTAGATAAATTTTACTGATCTTTTTCTTTCTTAAGGAAAATAGGATGTTGTTTTCCCAATAGTGAAGTAACGAATAACGCATTATTGATGACACTGTGATAAGCAGGAAAATTGATAAAAAGGGGAATCGAGACCTCGCGACTTCCTTTAGATGTGCTTGATATCATTGCCAAGAAATTAGATATTGATGAGCTATTTAACTATGGGGAAGTTTGCAAGGATTGTAGGGCATTTTTTTCATTCTGATTTTTGGCATCATTTCGTGGCCTCAGATGCGCCGTTAATTGTTCAAAAGACACCACATGCTAAAACAGCTTGCTCCTTCTACAGCATATCTGTAGAAAGAATCTATAACACGATGCTTCCTTTCTTTTCAAGATTCTCCCTTGTAGGATTTTCTAGTGGTTATATCACTACAAAAAAATAGTTGATTAGTGACGGAATTTGTGATGAAAAAAATTCCATTGCTAATTTGTGATGGAAAAAACTTCTGTCGCTAATTACTGACGGAATTGTGATTGAAATTCTGTTGCTAATTTTTTCGACAGATTAGCGACGGAATTTTTCTATCGCTAATATTGGCGAGGGAATTTCTGTCCGTCGCTAATTCGTCAGAAAATCCATCAATAAATATTTAGCGACGGAATTAGCGATGGAATTTTTTCCGTCATAAATTTCCGTCGCAGAAGTTTTTGTCACTAATTCCGTTACTAATCTGTCACTAATTTTAAATTCTGTTATTTTAGATTATAATCTTACAAAAATTTATATAATAAAAATTAAGAATATAATGATTTAAAAACATTTTTAATTATAAAATAAATTGATATATTTGTGGAGTTGGTGTTAATGAAGATATCGTCATCATTCATGTCATCATTATGTATATACTGAAAATAGAAAGACAATTTCTTAGAAATCATGTTTATATTTTGTTAAAATAAATTCCTCTTGATTATTAATAATAAGTAAAAAATATAATATGAATATTAATAACTTTCTTATACAAACTGATTTAAGAAAGAAATAATTTTATCATATGTAAAATATATTGAAATATATAATATATGATAAAAATTCAAAACCAAAAAATGAATTTATATGCATGCAAACTAATATTGAAGTGAATTTTGAATTTCAATAATGAAACAATAAAATTTAATCACGATATAATTGATACCCATGATATAGATTGATTTTAGTCTTCAATACAAAAACAAAAGGTATATACAAAGAATTTTAAGAAAATAAATTACATAGGATATATATACAAGTAGGAGAATACCGTTTATTATAACCTATTCAAATCATTTAATTTTTTATATAGAATAATTTATTAGATTTTATTATAGTAGTTATTTTTGAATAACAAGATTTTTTGACTAATTGTAAATGATTTTCTTCAAATATATAAAACACATATAGATAATATAATATAATGTAATATAATACATATATAATTAAATTGTATATCTTATCAATGTTAATTAAAAATAAATTTAAAAAATATTTGTAAAAAATTATTTATGATTTAAAATTCAAAATTAGTGTCGTTAGAAATTAAAATTATATTAGAAAATTTCCGTTGGTAATTAGCGATGGAAATTCTGTTGCTAAATAAAAAATTCTGTTACTAAATTCCATCGCTAAAAGCATGTTTTTTTTGTAGTGTATGGTAATGGTTGGTCCAAAAAATATGGTTAAGCTTTTAAACCCTTTTGCTAGAAAGAAAATGACAATCTCGGAATCACATGATCAAGGTCGTATTATAGATTTATATAATAGAGCAACCTTATGCTTTGCTAAAGACTCAGAAGAGTTCATCCTCGTGGCCTTATGTACATGGTCATCCAACATGCATGTGTATCAATCTCAAAATTCGAGCTGGGCCATTTATTCCATATGGGGAAAGCCTTGGACGGTCATGGATGTTGCAGTTTTTCACAACACTCTTTATGCTATTACTGATCAGGCCAGTATAGGGATAGTGAAGCTGAATACTCAAACCCTAAAGTTTCTACGAATGAAGAACAAGCCAGTTTTAGATGGGTCAAATTTAAAGTTGGTGAGCACAGATAATGATAATCTTCTTGTTGTTCATGTTAAACCCACCTTGGAGATGGAAATTTTCATGGTAGATTTATGGGTGATGGCTTGGTTTAGGCTCAAATCATTGGGAGATTGTGCTTTGTTCTTGGGTGGAAACTCAAAGTGTTATTCATTGGCGAATCCAGGTAAGTGGGGATTTGATGAAAATTGTGTGCATCTCATTGATAAAGATTCTCCTGCGTGCAAGGTTGTGTCTGTGGAAAATGAAGTTATTAAAACCATCTCACTTCCTGAAAATCGAGGTCCTCTTGGTGCTAAGCTCTACAATATCGATTGGTGCTTTCGATCTCGACGTGATGAGGTGGGTTATGCTCTCCATGAGTAAAATGGTAGCTTTGCTTGTGTGACAACATCAATATACAGAGTATCGCCTTGTTCCTTGTTTCAATTTTCCTTTTGGCTTGACTTAAAAGCATATTGTGCCATGTTGTGTTATAAATATTGTGTCTTTACTGTCTCTATGTTGTTGGTTCACTATATCTAATGTATCCTTTCATTTGTCTCTTGTTACTTGAAGTTCTTGTTTGCCTAAAATAAATTGGCTAGTGTGAAAACTTGTCATGTTACATTATGTATTTGGCAAAGGGAAAACCATATTGGAGGTACTTATACTTTTTTTTAATTTTCAATTTGGTACCTATGTGTTTTTTGTTCTTAACTAAATCTTTAATTTTGCTCTATTAACATCATTAATCCTTATGTAAAGACTAAAAATATCAATAGAACAAAGTTATAAGAGCTAATGTTGCTAAAAAGATAAAATTAAATGTTTAATTAAGGGAAAAAAACACATAGGTACCAAATTAAAAATTGAGAGAAAGTATAGGTACCTCCAATATGGTTTTCCCTTTGGCAAAAGCGCAACTTTGATCATCTAATTTATGTAAGGTTACAATTTGAATTCTTAATTTTATAAAGTTCTCTTTTTCTTCTAACACCAGCACTATTAATATTAAATGATGACTTCCTTTTGTGTAAATAATTGGTATTTTTAAAAGTTAAATTTAATATGTTAGCATTTAATAATGTTTTGTTAACATTTAAATTTTAATTTCAATATTTTTGTTAACAAAACGTAAGGATTAGATTATTGAAAATGTACTTTGTAAAATTTAAAAAAAAAATTTATAAGGTTAAATGACTAAAGATATACTTTTACCTATTTTTTGCATTTTTTTTTCATGTTCCTTTATTGTTATTATTATTTTTTTGCCTTCAAATATATTTGGCCACGATTTGGAAGTTGCCATGTTTACTTTTCCCCTTCTATCTTTGTTTGGCTCGTAGTTGACTCTTTCCGGCCAACATACCCTTACAAAAAATTTTACAATTTTATGGTATTTTTGAAAAATTTCAATTGAAATTCAAGCGCCATGAAAACAAGAAATATTTTCAGGAACTTCAACTAAACACATAAAATGTGAGCCAGGTCTATAATAGTATAATATTGCTCATTGTTTCTTTAAAAAAATTCTCTTGAATATTGACTTTGTCACATCTCAATTTTTAGGCCTAGAAGTCCTAGAAATAGCCTAAAGAAAGCAGGTTACTAAGCCTCTTTTTAGCAGAGGTCCCAAAGATGAGAAAGGAAGTCAAGCAGTTTCAGGGACTAAACTGCAAAGTAAAAGTTTTCAGGAGCTAAGGTGTAATCAAAGTTAGAGGCTTCAATAAAGTCTCAAGGGCCCAGAAAGAGGAAAAAAACTAAAACCAAGCCAGGGGGTAGGTTAAAAACCTCAAAGAGATGGTTGTATGAAGTTAAGTCCAAGCAGGGACTAAATTATAAATTCAGAAAATTATGACTAACAGGGATAAAAATGGAAGAGTATACAAAGAATTCAAAAAAATCCTAAAAAATGAAAAATAATATTCTAAGGCTCTTTTGTGAAAAGAAATGACAAAAATACCCCTAAGGTAGCTTAAATGGAATTATGAGGTTATGGCCGATAAAAAGTATATTGTTTGAGGTAATTATTTAAAATAGCAAGAGACCTCAAAAATGTATACAAAAATGAGATTAAATGGACTAATTTATAAAATTAGTCCTGCAACCAAAAGGCTAGTAGAATGGCTTTAATAAATTAAAAAGCCGATTATACTGATAAAAAGGCATTTTAGTAAATGAATTTTATGCAAGGTTTAAAGAAAGTGTTATGGCATGAAAAAATTTATAGATATTTTCTAGAATATAAGGGAAATTATGGAGCACACAGAAGAATTTTCTGAGCTTTGGAAGGCCTTCAAGAAAGCCAGAGAAATGTGGACCAAGTAAATTAGGAGGAATCTTAAGGATTAAGTTTTGATCCAATGATTAGGACTTAATCTCCCTTTTCCTCCACCAAATTTGTGACATTTGGCACCTCCTAGAAGAATGATGTAAGGATGATGCAAGAAGATGATGTAATGATGATGCAAAAGTACACTTGAAGTTTCAAAGTTGCCCTTACTCTTTCTATTAGCCACCAAGGGCATTTTAGTCCGTTCAAGCCGAAGTTTTGGCTATAAATAGAGCCTCTCCTCCCCCTCCATTTCGGCTAACATGAGAATACTAAGGGAAACTCTTGCAATTTTATTTCTTGAAACATAATCAAGAGGAGGACCCATATCTTTGATTAACCAAGCTTGGATCTAAGGTTAGTAGGTTGTTCTATGTTGTTTCTTGCTTCGTATTCTTGAGTTTAATGGTTGAAAAATATGGAATACCCTAAAGGGAGGTGCTGTCCAAAATTAATAAGAGTTAGAAGAGGATGATTTTGATGTTAAACTTAGCTAGAACACATTGATTAGAGGTTGTTTCAAGTGGATCTATGTTGAAATTGGAAGAATTGTATGATATGATTGTTGGGTATAATGTTCGGCCAATATGAGATCTATACCCTAGGATGTGATTTTGATGATTCTAAGGCTTCCAATCGGTTTAAAATGAAAAATGGTGTAGGGTAAACCTAAAGAATAATCATTGGAAGCATTGGAATTAAAGTTGGGATTTTTTGATTTCAAAGCCCCCCTATTCAACCAATGCTATTTCTGTAAATCAAGCAAGTTAAAATGCGACATATTATATAACTTCAAGACATCCTCAAGCCACATAAATTCTTATCCAATATCATGCTAAGAGAGGAACATCAATACTTCCACATTAACACAATTCAATGCATTTGGCCAAACCATAAACCAATGTCATCCAATCCACAAGGATTACAACACAAGTTCCTTAATTCATGCAACAAACATAATCACATTAAACAAGCAAGATAAACAATCAAATTATAATTCAAAGCTACCTTTGTAAAGCTTGTCCAATTAATTCCTCTAAAAAGCAATGCTTCTCCTTAATTCCTCCTCTCAATGCCTATTAAACCAAGCATAAACATGGGCCATATTAATCACAAAACAACTTAATTCCAATACTTGAACATTAACTCAACAATTTCCCCCCTTTTTCCTTGATTTTTAACAATATGATTCCTCCTTTAGAATCAATCATCTCATGGCTCAATCCTACACAATTTTTCATGAGGAATCCAATGGTGCAATCAAATTTTAAAAATTCATACTCCTTCCCCATGAAGTTCACTTGGCCGAATAGGGGTTCTTAACTTCCAAAAATTTCATTTTTGATTCCAATGATTTTAAACACTTTCCAACAACATATCCCTACACAAAAACACGTTTTAAAGCCATTGGAATCATCAAATCAAGAAAAATCCAATTGGTTCTGAATGAATAGTGCTAGACGAAAATTTCCCTTTGAACCCTAACCTTGATTTCATCCAAAAATCAATCCATACACCACTTAATCTTCCTTATTCACTTGATTATTAAGGTTTCTATCCTTTTCTAGGCATCACACATCCAAACTGAATTTTGGTAGAATTTTCAGCATTTTTCCAGCATTTTCCCAAGCAAAAATCCTTGTTTAATCAATGTAAAACTTAGAGATATTGATGCTTGGACATACCTTAGTGTTTCCTTGAAGTAAGTTGGATGATCTCTTGCCTAAAACACCTCAAAATTTCGTGCAAGGGTGGATGGATGAACAGTGACAGAGTTTCCCCTTATTTTTCCCAATTTTCTAACATTTTCTTTGTATTTTCAAGGGGTATTTATAGAAAAATTCCATCTGCCCTCTTGTCCCCTGATTTGGATGAAATTAGACACCTAAGGAGGTGTATGTGGCAGCCATCAAGTTTCTCAAACCTTCAGATCTCACCATGTGGCATTTCTCTAGATTTTTCCACAAAAATATCTCTTAATTTCACATTTTATTTAATAAAAATAGAGGAACCTGGAAGGTGCACGAAATTGAGTCCTTATTGGGCTCAATGTGGGCCCCACAAAAGTTTTGAGCTGACCCAAAAAGATGGCCTATAAACCATGTCACTATCTCAAACCAACTGGAAACTTTATCGGTTACTATTCACTAGTAACATTCCATAATTTTTCCAGACTTTGAAAAATTCATTTCTCTCCATGATAATTTACCTTTTAATATGGGAATATGATCTGGAAATTTTTAGAATTTTTTCGTCACCTCCAGGTATTTATTTTGAATTTTCTCCGATTAGGCCTTTATTGGTAAATCTGGGGGGAAATAAATTCCCTAAAATTAATTCTTGAGCTTCCAAGGCCTAAAATCAATTTTATAAATTGAAATAAACATTTAGATGAATTTTATATCAATCCTCCAAATTTATTGAGGCCTCTAACTCATTAAAATAATTATTTTCCTTTATTTTCCCAATAATTTCCCGAAAAACCTCTGTTTACGGGAAATTCCGTAATAATTCATTTTTACCAAAATTCTACCATTCGGCCTCAACTAAATTTTCAAAACCTCTACTCTACACTTTTCCTATTGTTTGGGGATTTTCTGGAATTTTTCTCAAATTTTCCCGTTTTACCCTTCTACATTGATAATTACGAAAATGCCAGTCCGGACTTTTTCGGGGTTTCATATCAAAAGTTGTTTGATCTCCCCGTCTAGTTCCTACATTGACCCTTATCCCAATTTTTGATCCTTTATCGCCAAATGAAAATTTTTGGGATGTGACAATTCCTTCCCCTTTAAATAAATTTTGTCCTCGAAATTTAGAAACATACCTTAATTAAATAATTCTGGGTATCTGGCCTTCATGTTATCTTTCTTTTCCCACATGGCCTCCTCCTAGGTTAGATTCCTCCAAATGACTTTAACCATTGGGATGATCTTATTCCGCAGCTGCTTGATCTGCCGATCTATCACTTTCACTGGCTTTATCTCGAAGGTAAGGTTATCCTGCAGTTCTATGTCTTCATATTTTAGAACATGAAAGGGATCCGGCTGGT